CGAGTTTCTGTCGAGATTAAAAAAGAGGAAACAAAACTTCATGAATAATAACAATCTATCAATCTACTTACTTATCTATCTATCTATCCATTTATCTATCTATATGTCTATCTGTCTATCTGTCTGTCTGTTTCCACCAATCGTTCCTTTCGTCAAACTAATAATGCGCAAAAAAGCAGATTCGTCTCTGGAATGGACGAGCTCTTTCGTGCAACAGTGAAACGAAGTTAAAAATAACGATGGTGCTGGTTGTACCACTTTCCAGAGTTATTTCAATCGCTCGTAGTAGTGGTAGTAGTAGTTTACTTCTTTTTTTCGTGAATTGTACGAATTTAAAAATGTCAATCGAATGTATATAATATCTTATATATATATATACATATATATATATATATATATATATATATATACACGTGTATATATATGTCTATGTGTGTGTGTGTGTGTGCGTGAGTATGAGCCGAGACCATTGCGAAATTCTCCGATTGGTTCGTAACGCGATAGGTCATTGCGAATCAAATCGCATATAGAAAACCGATATATTGTAAAAGAATGCAAAGAAAAATGTCGACGTGGCAAACGACGAAATCTAAACCGTCGAAAATCGTGGAGAGAACGTAGAGCCCGCGCATACGGCCGCACGAGGTCGAAGGAGGAGAAGAGGAAGAGGAGGAGGAGGAGGAGGAGGAGGAAGAAGAAGAAGAAGAAGAAGAAGAAGAAGAAGAAGAGGTGGAAGAGGAGGAGGAAAGGAAAGGAAAGGAAAGGAAAGGAAAGGAGTGGAGTGGAGAGGAGTGGAGAGGAGTAGAGAGGAAGGGAGGGTAGGAGCAAAAAAGCAAAGTGGAATCGGGCACACGCGGTTCGTGCAGACGGTTAAGGTCTAACGCAATTGCAGTTTGCCTCGTGGCTGCGTGCAGCGCGCGGTGTTGAGAAGGGGGTAAGCGAGGGGAAGAGGGCGGGGCGGCGGCGGGGGCTGGAGCGCAGCGCAGCGCAGTGACGGCAGCATAGGGGCAATAGAGGGCAACGCACCCGGTCAGCCTTGGCATGAATTGAGTCTAGCAACGCGAAAGTGAGGTTAGCCGATGCAGTTGCGCCGGCCAGATAGTCCTCTCCTTTGCAAAAGGGCGTATCTCCGGAATATTTCTGCTCGCTTCGATACCACCGCGCTTTCCCTTCTCCCACCTTTCTTTTTCATCTCTCTTCATCTTTATCATTATCTTCATCATCATCATCATCATCATCATCATCATCATCATCATCATCATCATCATCATCATCATCATCATCTTTTTCTTCTTCTTCATCTTTATAGCCATTCGTCATCATCATCATCATCATCATCATCATCTTCTTCTGTTTTTTTTTCTTTTCCTTTTTCTTTTTCTTTTTCTTTCGCATCGATGAAAATTCAATTTGCTATACTTTTAAATCTTTGTTTTAGACCAACTATCCTAATCTTTGAAGTAACAATTCTCTTTCCTCATCTTCGAAGTAGCAATTCTATTTTCTCATCTTCGAAGTAGTAATCCTCTTTTCTTCGGTCGATTCCCCACCACATAGCATTTCCATATTACGTTTTCTATTTTCCCCGATACTCTTTCACCGATCGTTATTTTTTTTATCGTGACAATCTATGTATATATGTATGTATGTATGTATGTATGTATGTATGTATGTATGTGTCCTATGTACATATACATATATATATATATATATTGGGTGAAGAAAGAAACGAACATCGCGTCCGTGTTCCGAGAAACGCCTTACGATACGTAAACTGCAATTTATGAGACTGCAATTGAACGACATATGTTAATTCCCAAGTCGATCGGGTCAACGATCTACCTTCGATCAGTCAAAATAAAAATAAAAAAGAGAGGAAAAAAAAGAAGAAGAAGAAAGAGGATGAGGAGGAGGAGGAGGAGGAGGTGGAGAAAAAATAAACGATGTATTTCATTCTACATATAATATGAAATATCATATTTAAATAGTATTTAAATCGATCCAAAGATTTCAATGAGATTAGTTAGAATCGAGGTCGAGAATCGAAAGCGCGAAAGAGTTTAGAGAGATATTAACTCTTCCTTTAGTAAAAAAGATAAAGGATGGAAATAGAAAAGTATATACATATATATATACATATATATATATGTATGTATGTGTGTATGTATGTATGTATATATGTATATATGTTGTACATATGTGCAATTCACGCGAGCAAGAATATATCCGATGTTCTTTCGCGAACAAGCGAGTACCGTTGCACGCGCTCTTCCTTCTTCGACGGTGCAACGAGAGGGGAATGCAGTCGTGGTAAAAGCAGACGGAAAGATAGATAGAGAGAAAGAGGGAGAGAGAGAGAGAGAGAGAGAGAGAGAGAGAGAGAGAGAGAGAGAGAAAGAGCGCGGTAGAAGCGTGGGGGAAGTGCAGGACGCGTCGAGCGGGATTGGAGAAGACGAAAAGCGCAGCACAGGGTGGGGGCCGCAGGCTGCTTTTGAAAAAACCGCGAAGCTTTAAGAAGGCACGCCATGCTCCCCACCACCGAGTACTACGCAGGCAACTAGCGCCCGACATAGACAAGCGCCGCGTTTTCCTATTACCCTTACAAATAGTTTCGCGTACGGTGATGATAGTTTTCCGATAGTCGTGCCGAACTTTACACCAAGTATCGTGTTTTTAATCATAGAAATATTTTCTCTTATATTTAAATTTTAATAGGATCTTTCTTCTATTTTTTTTTTTTATTGCTATATATATATATATATGTATATATATAATATAATATAATATGCCCTTTTTTATCATTAGGATCATTAAAATGGTCAAATACGACGATCTTTCGCGGAAAATTCTATTTTGCGATATCTTATAACATAGAATAAAAATTATATAGCTTCCGATCTAATAGAGAGCATTCTCTTCAATTTTAATATATTTTCTTGATATCAATGTACTTGATATCAATCGTCGAAAATCATTTGCTTATATAATTGCTTTTTTAATTTTCGCGTACGCGATCTTAGAAATCGATAAAAACGTGTGATACGTATAAGTGTATAAATATATTAACGTGTTGCAAATGAATAAGTGCGTACGACGCGTTTATTGCAAAAGTGTGAATAAAACATGCACGTATATTCGGTTAGAATAATGTTTTTCAAGCGATCAAGAAAGTGTATCTTTCTAAATAGAACGTCCTTCTCCGTACGAATTCGTGAAGAGTCGAGGGGAAGGTATCGTTTGAAAATAGTTCGCACAAGAATTGTGCCTGAAACGAGGACGAGGATATTTCTTTCATACGATTTTAACGGATTATTTCATCTTTCCGAGCATCGCGAGTACGGTCAATAGGTAATTTAGTTATTTATTTAACGTTATCATTCCTACTTTCGAGCGAGCTCGAAACCCTAAAAAAAAAATTTGTCGATTCGTGCCAAGATTCGGAAAGGTAAGGTTGAATCTCTTCTTGTTCACACTATTTTCTCGGTATAATTTAGAACACGCAGTTGCATCAGCTAAACCAAGCCCGCGTGCATATATACATTTCGAAATACTTCGAGTATGTCGAACAAATGTTGACTTTGCGATCGGACGTTTATGCGATTTTACATTATGTACAATCCGGGTCGTAGAATATTAAAAAGAGCGAAAATAAAAAAAAAAGAAGAAAGACATTTTCTTGATCGATTTGATTTCAGGCGAGACACGTGTCTTGCTCTCCGCTCTAAAAAAAAAAAAATAAAAATACAGAAAACATAAAAAAGTAAATGGATACAGTAATTAAAAAAATAAATACAATATTTAATTCTTTCTTTTAAAAGTAACAATAAAAAGAATAACAATAAGAAAAATAAACTATAGTATATAGATACAATGATACAATAAATGATTCGTTCGTGCAAGGGCCATTCCTCAAAATTCCATTAAAGGCAAAGCAAAACACGAGTTATCATGCAACAGGTTGTTTCCTTGTTACTCTTACACAGTCGCCTGACAAGGCGAAACAACAGCGCGATACCTGACTCAACTTGACTCATTGTCAGCTCCGAACGCAAAGTCCACGCCGACAGAGCGTAGACTCCTAAGTCAACATGTACCGGCCCTTATCGCTTCGTGAGACTTGTCTGATGCATAGTTTTTTGAACTCCGTTATCAGCCACCCTGTGATTTCTGTCGCAACCTCAAACTCTAATCGCAAAACTTGTCGTCGAAAGAGTTACGAATCGACAAAATGAAAAAGCACATTTTTATAATCAGTTTGTTTCAATAATTTTTAAATGACGCAACGATATCTGTTATCATTGTTATACAAAAAAAAAAGAAAAGAAAAGAAAGAAGAAGAAAAAGAGAAAAAGAAAAAAAAGAAATTAATTCGAACAGAAAAGAATCGTTTTAGGAATTATTTAGATGTCATAAAAGTTACGGATATTTTGGTACTTAGATACATGTACGTTAGGTGAACACGCATGGACACACCTTAATCGCGAGCACATCGCGTGCAACTCGTGCAATTCGTGCAGTCAGCACAGCCTGCACATACTTCGGCCGTACCGAATGCAAGGTGACGGAGATGCACGCACGGCTTTATTCCTTTGCAACTTGACACACTCGTTTAATCATATATGTATGTATGTATGTATGTATGTATAATACCGACTTCGAATCTCCGCTGGTCGAATGTTCGAACATGAATTTCAGAGCAAATCGCTCTTTATTCTATTCATACTATTATTTTAAAAACGTGTACGTTTTTACCGCTTGCGGCTGTTCGATTTCTCGCGTGACTTTACGTATATACTTTTAAATCGATAACAATATGGGATAATAGTTTATAAGACAAAGTGAAATATTCTTTGAAATCACCGGATGAAAGAGAGAGAGAGAGAGAGAGAGAGAGATTTAACAGTAAAAATAAAAATTGGAGATATAGAAATGGAGGAAATTGATTAGAAATATGGATTTGTCAACAATTACCGTCGTCTTTTCAACAACAACAGACAATCGTCTTTTCGAAAAATGAATATTTATTTACAAAAGATCTGTATTCAATTTGAATATAACTTACAGTCAGTCATATTTATAGATTTCAAATATGATTTCTCGTTAACATGTTAAATATCATCGTAGATATTTGATATTTGGCAAAACGTGAGATCGCAACATATAATAATTTCTCCTGGGCATGATTTGCACTATCGCTTCTCAAAACGTATTAATATTTTCTTCGTTTGCTCCACTCTTATCACACGTTTTATTTCGAAACAATTTTTATCATAACAGCACGTACATTAATATTGAAAACTCGTAATGACATTACCGTGAGGATGTTTAAATAGATTGTTTCAGATTTCATTTTCCATGAAATATAGATTGATAAATCATATCGAATTAAGCAAAAATTTTCTTGAAGGACTTTTGTAAATACATTCAAAAATATCGTAACACGAAAATTTAAAAAAAAAGAAAAAAAAGAAAAATAATAAAAGAAAAAGATAAAAATCTCGATGTCGGAGAATAAAAAATTGCAATGGGAAATACATACTGTCCAATATTTTTATATTGTGTAATCTCAGCGTCATTGTGCAGCAAAATAGTCGCAATACTGAAGAAAGCACGTAAGTTGCATTTATATTTTATGAAAAGATGTGTCTTATAACTAAATAAGCACCCCACATAAACATACGATATTGTTAGTTTCTCCAATTTGATTACGCGCGAACAAATTTGTAATTCTAAGTAAGCAATTTAAAACTTTATTACAAAAAACTTTTCACGCTTACAAAAAACAAATTATCTATCCAATATGACGGATACGTAATTTATAATTTTCAAGATTATATGTATGTACAATCAAATTCTATCGCACGCAATTATTTTATATTAAACTATATGTTTGTACCCATATTGCTATCTAGAAAAATATTAGTCTTTAAAACGGTGAATTCATTCCAAGTTTTGTACCAAATTCCAAACGGGCCCTCTTTTGATATCTAACATTTAGTCTGAGGACACAATATTAAATATAATTGTAATTACAGTAATGTATAATTTGAAATAAATAGATGAGTTACTCACTTTATTTCTTGCCATTTAACAAGTTCATTAATTGCAAAAACCAATGGTAAAGAAATTAAGTACGATAATGGTAGATGTAGAGAAAAATTTTCTATTTGTGGTCCCTCCTCTCTTACAAATTGGCAGAACACATGCCCTGAGAATGCTGCTTGTGCACAGATTCTAAATATATCACAAATCTTTGTCATAATCGTAGTTCTTTAAAATTTCGCAAAAGAAAAAAAAAGAAAAGAAATATCATAGTAATACTTACATTATAAATGCGCTAAAAAACCACAAATAATTATTCGTAGATCTTTTTTTCCAAATGGAATATTCTCTATGTACAAATCCTATTGATATTGTTACTAAAAAAAAAGAGAAATAATTAACATATAGTTTAAAATACTACCAGCACATTGAATACATAAAAATATATATATATATATATATATATTGTGATATATACCATAATGTAAAACTAATATTGCTAAAGCAAAATGCTGTATCGCCAACATAACATTTGGCTTAGAACCCCAACCACCCCAAATATCTTTCCCGTGTAAATCAGGATATATATAAACACACTTAGAATCGGTTGTAACATACATCGGACATAAAACCAAAAAAGAAATATACTGTGATAAAACTACCGTTACAATAGTAGGCAAGAATTTACTACCATAACACCACAATACAAAAATTGCAACCTGTGAATAAAGAAAATTCATTTTATTAAGAACAACATAAAATGAAATGAAATTAAAATACGAATATATTACCTGTCCGTTTATTATGCATTGATTCTTTCCTGTTGCTCTTTGCATTATAGTAGAATCCATAGGAGTAGCTATCATGGATATTGATAAAACGGGTATAATCAAACAGCTCAACCATACAATTTGATATACAGACAATAAAGGCGGTAATAACAAAATAGCAGATATTGCTTGCGCAAATGAAAGAGTAACTGTACAGCACAACCAAAATTGTACACAATTCCATAAACATTTCATATAATGACGTGCCTAAGGAGAGAAAATGCAATTATTAATTATTATTATTATTATTATTATTATTATTATTATTATTATTATTATTATTATTATTATTATTATTATTATTATTATTATTATTATTATGATTATTATTATTATTATTATGATTATTATTATGATTATTATTATTATTATTATTATTATTATTATTATTATTATTATTACTATTATTATTGATTATTATTATTATTATTAGAAATACAAATAAAAATACAATGAAAAGGTTCTAATCACCTCCATGATAAGATGAAAAATAGTAATTGGATCTTCGCGCTTTACGCTCAATGAACAAGCGATAGAATTTAAAGCTCTGCTTAAATCAACAGGAGATGGCCCTTGATCAGGCCTAGTTTGTGCCAATACTGGTATTTTTTGACACACTTGTGGGTATAACGGTTCTACTGCAACTCTAGTATAATGAAGATAAAGTTTTTAATCTACAATTACAAATTAAAATTTCAAATGCATTATCGCTTGAAAATATGACTTACGCAGCATCGGCTTGCATAAAAATAGACATATTTTCAGCATTAGCAGATGATCCAAGAACGCATACGACTTCGCCATAATCTTGCATAATATGCAACATTTCTCGCGTTACAGTAGTATTGCAATCGGTAAATAAAGATACTAACAAAGGTACATTATCTATTAACTCTATATGAGGTCGTATTTTATCGATACCTCGCGGTAATTTAGCCTGCGGAAAAATATATGATTCATCATTGATAAAATTTATATTTTAATTATAAATTTTAACTTACTCGATTAGATAAATCAAAATGAACGGGCGCACTTTGCTCTGTGCTATCAGTAAGGCAACTTAAAGATCGCCAAGCCTCCTGACCAGATCCTAAATCAACACTGTGCATGAGCACACTGTTTTCGCTTCTTACAGTGTCATGTTCCCTGTATCATGATTATTGAAAAATTACTTCGTCATTTAGAAATGAACTTGATAATTAATCTGCAAAATATTTATAAATGGCAATAAAGAACATACTCATAAATCATGCACATAACTTGTTATAAGTGCAAGAGTTGTGAATGAACCTAAGTAAAACTGTTTTATAAAGATGAAACAAAATTGGGGGGAAAAAAATATTTCTGTTTCTCGATCAAATGTTAATTAAAATCTTAAAACAAAGTAAATCATAAAAATTATGATATTTGAATTACGATAATTCATAAAAAAAAAGAATGGCAAATTTTAAATTAGAATTTTAAACTAATGTAAACCTATGGCTCATGGTGCTTTTGGCTTGAATTGGTCCGGTATAGTTCCATTCAGCGGGTTCGTCTTCAAACCTCACGGTAGACATATCAGTATTTATAGCACTTGGTGCAGACATACTCATCGCTCGACTGCTGTCCAAGTTACTACTATAACAAAATATAGATTCGATTAAGTTGTTATTATTATAATTCAATTACGTTGTTTTATATTCTTTATGCTGATAAATAATTTCATATTGCAAGCACACTAAAGCAGCTACATTGCAGAATTATAGAACATAATCTATTTCATACAATATATTATAACAGTTTTATTTGTTTGTGTTTAAAATAAAAAAGAAAAAAAAAGAAAATTTTAAATTTAATTCTAAATCGAATAAGAACAAAATACTATATTAATATAATAAATAAATATTTTCATTATTCTAATATTTATTAAGTATACTAATAATGACGAAACGATGAAATGACATTTTCTAAGCTTACCATGAGTCAGAAAAAAATGATAAGATTAAATCTTAAAAAGTCTTTATGATTGATAGTGTATTTATGATAAAAAAAATAACGTGTAACATACCGAGGAGATATACGATTAAGCAAGTGGCTGGCCTCATCCATGCAAGAGTATTTATGCTGATGGGATTGCGTTGAGGGAGTGGGTGAGGACATGGCTGCTGCCTGGCTCACCCAACAACCCACTGGACTCTCTGACCTGGTATCGATGTGTTAGTTACGTTTGCTTAGTTATGCATTTAATAAATGTCAAATAATAAAATAACAGAAAACATGTAGTTATTGCTATTATGGGATATGTGCATGATTATGAATTTATTTATTAGATATATTTCGAGGTACAGAATCGTCAATTTTATGAAAATACCTGAATGTTATTGCACTTTGATTATATGAAAGAAGCCCATAATTTATAAATTAAATAATTTTTTTTAATAAAAAACCACTTGAGAGAGATGATATTCAACTGTAACCAATCATTGTTAAATTTCACAAAAAAAATTAACGAATAATGTTAATAATAAAAACAAAAAATAAGTGTTTATATGTATATATATATATATATATATATATATATATATATGTGTGTGTATTTATAAGATACACGAAACAAGAACATGCCTCAAACTTCTTTTGTAAATTGTTTACTAGATCTTTTTCCCATTTAAAAAAAAAAAAAGAAGCCAAAAATTTGCAAATAATAAATATATAAGATTACGATTGTTTACCTAGTCCTCTCTGTGAGCAATGATATGTGACAATTCCATCCACTCTCAAGTCCCATTTTTTCCGAGAATACACGAGAACGTAATTCATTTTCTTTACTGAAATGAACGAATCTTATGCAGGCTCTTTCTAACTGTTCAATCAACTGAACCTGGTAAGTACATGATAGATAAACACAAATAAATTTATGGATATAATTTCATTAAAAAAACAATATTTTACCATGTCAGTCTGAGCTTGATACTGCATAGTTACCATTCCTATAAATACTTGATTACATTGAAGTTCAAAACAACTTTCAACATCATTTACATCATCATCATTATTTTCATTACATAATAAGGAATCTGTAATAAAAATATATATAAATATACATTTGAACATAATAAATTGTATAAAATAGATTAAATGCAAATTTTACCTGTAGAATGAAATTGTCCAAGCATTCCCTTTATTTTAGGGTCTAGAACATTTCTAAAATCCCATGGTAAAGGAGTTGGACTTCTATGTGGAGTATATAAATGTTTACTATCTGCAGGAAGTTCTATATATATTTCTGACATTCTCTTATTAACACCTTTAGTTAATGGTCTATAAGCAAATGCAGTACAATATGATGTTAAACTTGTTCTTTGATAAAAATCTTGTACTTTTTTCCTAAATAATATATAATTAATATATTTATATAGATAAAATTGTTGTAACTGTATTATAAACTTATTGTGTTAAGATTAATCATGAGAAATATACCTATCGGACGCAGAAAGGGGACAAAGATCGTGGCCATCCCAAAATTCAATACACGAATCTAGAATTATATCTGCAGTACCTTGTGTTAACAATTGTAAACTACCGCCACTACGTTCTTTTACTACCACAGCAACCATATGCGGAAATGGAAATTTCAACTTTGTTGCAATACTCAGAGAACGTGCAAATTTAATATCTCTTTTAACTTTGTCTGCTTGCTATAAATTGGGATTAGTCAATCATATTTATTAAAAGTTCAAGAATAAAACATATACAATGTGCTGTTTTGTAATGTATATACATACCACATGTCTGAATGTAGATAATTGCCTTTCTAATTGAAATATTTTTTGTGCTTGATCTCGAAAACCAATTTGCTTCGCCAATTCGCATAGGCATCTAATAATACAAGAAAAAAGATTCTAATGCAATTCTTGAGTTAGCAAATTATAATATAACTATAATTATATATATCATTAGTATAAATATAATTATAAAATATATTATACATTATATACTACAACTAATATAACTATAAAATATACCGTCTATTTGTAACCGGCACAAGATTTTCGTTATAGACAGCTTCACAAGTAACATGACAACAAAATTGAGTATAATGTTCTTGAGTTTCCATATTACATGTGTTCAAAAGAATTGCTAAGCCTAGAGGTTTCAATGAATTTAAATGTTGTCTCCAAGAATGATCGTCAAATTGCAAACGAAATGGTAGGGCATGGTCATGTGTAAGATCCAATACTTCTGCTGTGGAATGAGATATCTCTACAAAAAAAGGAAAAAAAAATTTATTATAATGAAGATTTTTACTTTTTTATTATTCAAAAATATTACCATGTTGTACATAACACGTTCTATTGGAAATTTCTTTTGTATTCTCCTCATTGGGCATAGATTCTGTTGTTTTTCCTAAACTGCCAGTGCTAATGGAAGATAATTATATGATAAATCCCATGCTTTTTTTATGTTATTTGTATATATTATTCAGATGTATTTATTATTAACCTTGAAGCTGCTGATAAAGTATTGGAATTATGTAGGAAGAAAACCTTTTCTGCAGTTGGATTAGGCCAAGAAAGAATGCCTTTCTTATCTACACAACATAATGCCTAAAATACATAGCTTGTATCAGACTTTTTGGTATCTTCATATATTATGATGTTAACACATTCGTGGATATTCAAAGTACTTGTGCTTATTGAATAATATATTATATAAATATACTGTGATTATACAACTGACCTGTATATTTCATATTTTACAAAATATCATGACTTTTTCTGTGCATAAAATATCTATTCACGTTGTGTCCATGGATGTGTTAACATTTAACATATATAATTCCACATACTGTGACAGAACCCAAAACATGAAGAATGTTTGCAGATCTTGACATCATATGCTCTTTCCCACAAAGAATATTTAAAAAGTGTTCCTTCAATTCAAACCAATTATAAATTATTTCAGGATGACTTGGAGTTGAAATATCTGCATCTTCAAAAGGATCTACAAACTACATGTATTATCTGCATGATTATAATGATCTTTTAATAATATGAACAAATCGTGAGATCGTTATATACTTTATATACTATATAGTTACAATATATATTATAATAACAAAATTCTAACCTGAAGTTTTTTTGAAGACTGATAAAGCTTGCATAGTGCTTTGAAACGTGCCATTCCTAAACAGTTCAGAAAAATCCAGCAAGTAGGAAAGATTATTGGTAATAATGGAAGAGTCACTGCTACTGGTTGTAGTAGAAACATTTCAATCCAGCTTCCTATACCAAAGAGTTCTGACAGATATAAGTAACGAAACAAATTAATGGCCACAATGGTAGTTAAAATAAGTGGATAGGCCAATTGTTCTATATAACAGACCATCACAAGGAAACGTTTGCGATTATGATACGTAACAGGCCTATCAAGAGCCTGATCTAAAGCCATTCTAAGATTTGTCAAATATGGAGTTTCTTGTAATTTGTATAACTTATTTTTCAAAGGTAGCCTTGCTTGCGGCGTAGAAAATATTTCATTTACACTATGGACTGGTGGACTATAAACTTCTTGTGTATGCAAAGCTGATGCGTCAGGATCCTAGAAATAAGTATAGTACATAAATCATTAATTTTTGAAAAAAAGGTTAAGTCATGAAAAACTCACATTATATGGAATACAATAGCCAGGGGACTGTTGACCAGGTTTCATCACAATTATGTCTCCAACAACTAATAACGCCCATGGTAAATTAACTATTTGGCCATCGCGATATGTCCATTGTAAAGTTAAACATGGTGATAAAGGTGTACATAAATGTGGATAATTTTCAATATTCCATGTACATCTAGCTTGTGCATCTAAAATATAACAATATAAAATTAATTCTCTAATTTTACTAACATATATAAAGTATATAATAATTAATTGTTCTTCAAGTTGACATACTCTCAAGTTGTTTCAAAAGAACATAAATTCTACTAGGAATCTCATTATGACGTAGTTTGTTATCTGATACAACTAGAATAAAATTTAAAATTGTTAAGCAGCAAATGATTAATCCTTCGTATGGCAGTGTTGAGTACCTATAATAGAACATTTGTATATTTCAACATTTATAATGGATAGTCTATAAAATAAAACGTATTTTATATTTTATATCTCGTACCATGTTTCACCTGTAGACAGATATATAATAATAAGTGTGAGCCCATTGATTAACAATGCAATTGCTGATGTCCAACAAAGGGTTGTATATTGACTACGATGATGTAATGCATCCTTCAGCCAAGCTTTGTATCTTCTAAACATACATATGTTATATGTCAAATTATATAACATATAATCATAACATAAACAAGCAGTCAAAATAGAACTTTCAAAGAAAAATTGCCGATATTTTAAAATCTTAACAAATCCTTTTGATCAGCATTGTGTCAGCCTTGTCTATTTTTGATTAGTTTGAGGTTTCAATAGTGACAATTGACCAAACTGGACTGTAGTTAGCTCTAAGTAAATAACATGCAATCGAACATTATTAATCAGTAAAAAAGTAACGTTTAATATTCGATTACTTGTTTCTTCTGCATTCATCTTCGTAATCTTGTAAAACGCATTTAATATCACTCTGTAAAATACTCAATGCTGCAGTTGTAGACAATCCAAGATCTGTCTTATATTTTCTATCTTCTATATTTTCATTTGTTTTTTCCGAGAGCTTCCTTATCCGTTCACTGTCCATATTTTAAATTATAAAATGAAATAAGCCGTATGCATAAGACATTTTTTTCACCGCAACTGTAACGAGCAACAATAGGCAACGATCGACAACTACCACGTTCAGTTTATGGTAGGGATAAAAGCGTGGGAGTATTGTAAAAACAATAACCTTCTCCAAAGGTAGTAGCGGCAAAAGAGAAGCTTGATATTCGATTATGCTTATTGGTTGCAAGTCATGTGACTTGATTATATCGATTCATAGCCAATAACTAATCAGTCGATGAATCGATTATTAGTATGAAGAACGTGATTGGTTAGACGTTCTTTACCCACGAACTAAAAATAATCGCAAATAATTTAAATTTTTAAAGTGTATGCGAAAGGTTATATTTCAAATTATCTTATAATAAAAACAATAAATCAATACAATGTTCACGTAAGAATAATCATTTATTTTCATAATATTTTTATTGAATCATTCGTTGTTTTTAATTAACCATATATATATGTATTTATGTATATGCGTACATAAAAATAAAAATTTAATCTATATTCATTGAAACGCTGTTTCTACATCTTTGCGAATAAATAATGCTAAACTTGCAGCTGCAAGACCTGTAGCATGGCTGTCACATCCAAAATCGGTATTCATATTACTTTTCGGTATAAATTCTCCATAACTGTTAAAGAATTAAAAAAATTCAAAAATATTTATTTTATGGTAACAAATAAATAAAAAACCAAAAGATACACATATATACTCGCATACCCAAATGCACTGTAACAACCACTAGGATGAGACCAGCTTAAAATTAAATTCTCATAATGTTTATCCATGAATTCCAAATATCCTTCTGATCCACATAAAACAACTATAATTCAAATGACATACAAGGATCAATTTTAGAAATGACTCTGTTATAAATAAACATCATAATTCTTTACCTTGTTCCATTAACAGATCTCGCGTATTATAAGGAAATCCAATCGCTTCAATATCAATCATATCTTGAAGAATACGAGAACAATAAATAGGTAACAATTTTAAAAAAGGTACCATTTGATTTTCCTTACATCCCATCTACAATATTCATTTACATTTATATAACGTTACCATATTTTTTTCTTCAATGAAATATTTAAACAACTGTTTATTTGTAAACTTACTGCTCTTAAAGTTTGTATAATAAGTAATCTATGCGTAAGAGGATATCCTTTTGGATTATCTTTATTCATTATTATTTGTATGCATTTGGAAGGTATTGAACATTTGTTATAAAATTTTTGTTTAACAATTCCGACAAGACAATAATCACTTTCGAATTCTTTAGGTCTTCCTTTCATTATTAAATCTTCTTCATTCGCATACGATAATCCTTGAGATGGAAGAGGTAGCGCCGCACCCAAAGTTTGATTTTTCCAAGATATTTCTCGTATCCAAAATTTTGGATCATTCAATACTTTCTTTACTAGTAATCAATATTTTCATAATATTGTTATATATTATATATTATATAACTTAATATTATATAAATTAATATTATATAATAATTTATATATTATATAAATTAACATGCAAGATATATTTATATATAAATTACAAGATAAACATAAAGTAGTTGAATACTTACACATTTTCATTTCTTCATTTATCGGAATAATTACGTTTGTTAAAAGTTTTTGCGTTGAATAAGAAAATTCCAATAATTTTCTCAGATCATAGAGATACGTTTTGTCAAGATAACAAGTATTTTCATGCAAAAGTGTTTTTACTAGAAAGACTGTTCCGAAGAATATATATATATATATATTTTTTTTTTGTATGTGAAATATTTTTACATACATTATTGATATAAATTATATATTATTTACAACATATTATTGATATAAGTTTGATATAAATTGCTTTTCTGTACATATATTGTAATACTCTCACCTTCTGTTAAAGTAATCGCATAAATAGTACCAATCGTCATCTGTTGCGGTCGTTTATGTATGTATTTGATAACTTTAAAAAGAGCATTCAATTTGAGATCTGAAAGAAATTGTCCATTTATAAGCAATATAATAACAGATCAATAATATGACAACATTAATATATGCCCATAATTGTACAGTTTATTCGTGTATTTCATAAATACATAAATAAAATATAAAATTTTATATTTTTAAAAATATGACTTGCCGATTATTAATTTGTATATAATTAACTAAATATCACTACTATCTTCTGCAATAAACATAATAATTATATATAAATTTATCGAGAGGAAGACAGGATATTTTTCAATATTTCAATAATAATTAAAATGATCATAATTTAGTCACTATATCATTTTATCAAATATATATGTATGTATATACGCGTAACATAGTGGGCATATCTTACAATGAAACTAAAATTATAATTTTACATAAAAGGAAAGAAACAATTTCTACTTTTGTTTTACTATTATTTGTTGCGATATCATATAATTTTGTTTAACTGTAGTATCAATTAATTTAATGAGTTGTAACAATACCAAAATCGGTATAGTCAAGGTCTCCTTTGGCTTTGACTATGAAGCATCCCAGGATAGCAAAGATCAATAGAACGCACTTAATTCTTTGAACACTCCACTCCATCGGGGAACATCCACGACTGAGAAGAGGATCATTCGCAATTCTGGCTTTATAGTCTCCCCAACGTTTGTCGTCAATGTACATACAGCCTAAACTTAACGTTATTTATCGCAAGTAAGTTCATCCTCGAGACGCAGCCGCAGCAATACTAACGATTACACCTTTTTCTTCATGAACCCGACGTGTCTTATTCGAGAAATCTTTCACTTTAAATCCAGATTCTTCACGAGGGATTACCATTGATTTTATCAACACCTACGCGTTCGGAAGAAACGTTGTGTCTGAGAACAAATACGAATTCGTGGAGAAGATAAATTTCGTAAAATTACAAAATAGAAAAAGTTAGATATTTTATATTTTATATATATAAAATATCAATAAACAAAACATAATTTCACTTAACTCCTGATGGTTACCATATTGGAAAATTTGTAATTTATAAATATCTAGGTTTATATATATATATTTTAACAATGATGTAAAATCGACTTAGCAAAAAATTTGTACTTTTTATTTAAATATATATTCTATTTATTCTTTTATAATGCATCAAAAGTTCGATAATGATATAATTCTTTTTCTCTTTTGTATTATGACGTTTTTATCTTTTATTTACGACAAAAGCTACTACAATATATACTTAGAAAATAAATTTGTTCTAATTCTTTTTTAAGATTTTGCATCTTAATTAAATATAATATTAACTCAGACTCAGCATTCTTCTTTATTTTTATACATACCTTTATTCATAATCTTCCTTATAGTTTTATATGAAGAATACTAGGCCAAACACGAGATTTATCATATTGCGTATATTTTTATCAATACGTCTTTTAGGATATTCCTTAAATATACTAAATAAGTCATTAGTATTGGGCAGGTCTAATGCCTAGTTTTATAATATTGTAATAATTGGAATGTCCACAATAATCAACAATATGATCGCTATTAGAGAACTTCGTAAATACATAACGTATATTGTTATTACAATTAAATTACTATCAATATCTTGGTGTATGGATGTATATGAATATTCGCATGTATAATATTCAATTTGAAGTCAATATCAGAAATTAAATCATTCCCTTTTTAATTATACCACTTACTATAAACACATCATCTCAAATCACCATTGATAGTAATATTCCAAAGGGAAGTAAGTTTCACCTTTGGAGTCATCATCTCGTTGCATTTTTATGTATATCGCAAAATACGCTGTATATGTCAATTTCGCGTAGAGGAAAAATTAAATACCAAAATATCATTTTCCATGCGATTTTATCTTGTCATCGATTGACATTTATCGTCGAATACGTTTACTATACTGAAATTATTTGATATTGGCAAAAAATGTTTGTGTAATAGGATTAAAATTTTCTTTCACATTATCACGTTGCTTAATAACGTTTTTACTTACAATTGTATCGGAAGTACGCTTATCTTTATCACTAATTAAATGAAGATTTGAAGTGCGGCTGCAAGTAGCATCTGTTGATTCGTCATCCAATTTCAATAATGAATTTTCCATGTTTGATACTCCTACCGACGTGGAAGAATCTTTTACATGATTTTTTGTGGCAGTGTTCATTTTAATGTTTACAGAAAACGTATCATATAAGATCATCTAATGCAAATAAAAAATAAATAGTTATTGCATAAGTTATTCTTTATAGAAATATATCTTACATTTTAGTAGTTATTACATACCTGTACATTATTAGAATCACGAACTTTAAATTTAAGATCTTGTAATTGTACTGATTCTGGTATCAGTCTAGGTCTATCACAGGCGTTAGGGTTACTTGCAATTTCGGAGAACACACTGCATCCATTGGATTGGAAACTATAAAAACAATAATTGTCACTTTAATAATAAATTCCGTATTTATGAATGATGCATTTTATAACTCACTGTTCATCAGAGACATTTCCTCTTGAATCGGTACACTGTAGTAGGTTTGTCCATTTTCTTTTAACTGATGCTCCTTTTGGATTAACTCGATCATTTTTTGTTCCGGCATGGTTGTCTGTTGATTCACTAGCAAAACTGGTCCCTGCATTCCCGTCGCACTGTTAGAATCCCAAGACATACACTGGAGAGGAGGTACGGGGAAATCAATTTGACAAAATTTACTCCCCGCACCATAGTATTTCTTATTATATTTTTCATTATGTTAATCAATCGTTAACATTTATCAAATATAATTATATTACATAAATAAAATATAATATTTACATTTACTATTTAATTACAAATTTATAAAGCACAAAATTGCAGCTAAGACAGCAATAATTTATTTAGTGCGGGTAAACATATGAATATAAAACAGTATAAATAATATTTGTAAAATATTATTTAGAATTTTACTTATTATTTTCAACTTTTTATGATTATATGATTGTTATAAAATGATATAATAAAAATGTATTACATTAAATACTCACCTGTCTGAAAATGGATTGTATTCCATTTTTAATTCCTAAACTATCAGAATTTTGAGATGGCATCATTTTTCTGTTAGTAAAATTTTTTTCTGTATTTAATGATTGGTATGTATTACTATTCCGAACATGAGTAACAATTACATCTTCACTAGTAGATTGATCAGAAATCAATGATGAAGTATTGTTAATTTGGCTTTCTGCTGTATTATGATTTGTTAATTGCAGCATTGAAGGAAATATATTTTTATTACTGCTTGTGTGAAAAATTTTATTCTTTCTATAATTATTTGATGTAAAAATTTGTTGATTTACATAGATACTTCTATTTTTCACACTTTTTTCCGATGATGCTATATTAATTGGATTATCATTTTGCAGTTTAGCTCCATTATAGGAAATAGCACTAGATGAAGCTTTCATATTTTCTTCTAAATCATTTACTTTCACTTTTTTAGATTTATCTATCACCACAGTCTTTATTCCATTTGTGTGAGTTCCAATTACACATATATTTGTTTCATGCTTTCTCTTTGAGGTTATTCCTGTATCATTGCATTGACATTCCGAAGATGATAGTCTTGTACTTTTAGTTTGAATATTTTCGGAATTACTGAAGTTCATTGAAGGACTAGTATATAATTCTAATGATTTATGATTACCTGAACTTTTCATATCAGGTACATTTGCAAAAACTTCGGGTGATAAAGATGTTACATTAGTAATTTTAATGTTCATAATAGATGAATTATTAGAGTTCCTATGGTTTTCATTTTCTGAAAATGTATTATTTTTTATATTATCTATAATTTCATATTTTTCTATTGCTTTTAAATTATCTGAAATTTTCTTTTCCTCTTCAATTTTATTATTTATCTTTCCAGCCATCTCTGATGAAATACATGAAATATCCATAGATTGATCCAAATTGTTTATTTTAGTTCTTGTATCACAGGTAGTAAGGGCCATCTTCTTCAAAGTTTGATCTCCAATGTTTGACTTTTTTGAAGTATTAATGACCTATACAATATGAATACATTGTTAATTAATCTCCTATAATTTAATAATACTAGTAAATTAATTGATTAAATTACTCACTTCAATGTCATCTTCATCGCTATCGATCAAGATCACATCAACCTTTTTATTCGAAATCGATGGTTGCATACTTTGTAAGTTTTTGTTTTGTTTTGTTTGTAACACATTTTTTTCTTGAACTGTTTCTAATATACTTTTTTCTTGATCTGTTTCTAATACACTTTTTTTTACGTCAGTTTTTACCATACTTTTTTCTTGATCTTTTTGTAATACACTGTTTTCTTGATCTGTTTGTGACATATTTTTATCTTTAGATTTAATTATTTTACAATTGACTGATGATGTTGCAGACACGTTTTGACTAGAACTGCTACAGTTATTTTCACATGTAGTACTGCAATACATAAAGAAAAAGTGTGTTATCATTAGAAATCTGTAAGGTTATATGCACACACATACTTTGTTGAAATTTCATTTGATGTTAGTTTAAAAGATCGAGGTGCAGGACATGCATGTGAGTATGGCGACATAGGAAGGTCATCTTTATCTTGTGTACCACCCACAGAAATTTCTGAATCACTGGTATCTGTGTCTATGTTACGATAGGTAATACTGAAAAAAATATGTTATAAAAATCACAGATTCCATTAAAAGACAAAGCAGATAACATTATTATAAATCCTTTAAATCTGATAATGACTATAAAAAACATACATACTTTATTGTTTCTGTTACATTCTTCGTAGACTGCTTTACTTTATCTGTAAAGTAAAGTAGGAATAAATTAATATGTTCTAATGAATTTTTCATAAGAATTTGTAAGAAATGAAATCAATAATAAAAATAATTATATCACCTAATATGGATATACATTCATCACAGCTCCAAACAGGATTAGCCCATTTTAATTGGCCACATGCCATATGAATTCCTTGGGAACCACATGTTCTACATAAAGCTAATTCCCATTTTCTAGTAAAATAACATATATTATTCTAGTATATAATATTATATACAAAGTATAAACAATAATATTGTTGTCTTAGAGAAATATAATTCTATTACTAAGCTAAATTTACTACTCACGCATTCATGCTTGTATAGTTTCTGCCTTTTGGACATAAACATGTCACAGCATCACAGCGGTCATGTCTATATAAAAGTTCTTGAAATGCATTTGGTTCAAGTTCCCAAGACGCATCCCTATAAAATAAAGGAGCATATAATATTGCTGTGTGTTTAGTAGGAAAACATAATAAAATATTATATTATATAACTTTTGGATAAATATTTGCTATAAATTAAATATTACATAGAAATAATAATCTTCCTATATATGCTTATAAATATATTACTTTATTCATAATTTTACTTACTGACTTGGGATAAAAATACCATATTCTAGCATTGCTTTTTGAAATTCTTTTTTATTATTACATAGTGGACACTTAAAGAAATAACCAGCATTCATTGCTAATTGCTATAAAAGAAACAATATTAATACAAAATATATTTGTTTATTTATATTTTTAATAATTAAATATTAATTATTGTTGTATATTAAATAAGTACGAATTAATAAATAATTAATTTACCTGAACACATTTTCTATGAAACCAAGCATCCTTTTTACAACAAGGTGCCCATAATGTCCCAATAAAATTCTTAGGATTAACATTATCATAACAAATACAACATAATATATCAGTATTTTCTTTAATTACTTTTCTTTTTTTTTCATCAATTTTTTGTTTTGGTCTATGGTTTATACAATATGATCTAAAATTTTGATATGATTTTATTTCTATTTTATAATAATACAATCATTATCAAATAATCAATAACAAATACAATGAATATCCTAATTATTAATCTAAAAATATATGAATTTATTAAACTAAGACAAAAGATTAAAACTTTTTTAAACACCCTTAACTTTTGATAATTACCTAAATTCACCAAAAAATTGATGAAGAGTTCCAGCTCTTAAGCCACAAGGAAAATGAAATATACGTTTACACCTTGTATTGCAACATCCTAACGTAGCACCATTTTTTTTACAATAAGAGCATATCTTAAAATATAAATCCAAAATGTAAATATAAATTTATAATCGTTATGAAAAAGAGAATAATATAAAATAACACAGATTACAATAAAATAGATATCATAATCGTTGTCTTACCAATCTTTTTCCTCTGCGCAATTCTTTTTGTATATCTTCTACTAAAAATCCTAAAATACCTTCGTTATCATTACCTTTCTGTTCCATATTAGAAGATAATAACTAGAAGATAACAAATATTTATATAGTTTCTATCAATGTTAATACAAATAGAGTATAGTTAAAAATAAAATTCATTTGTATTTAAGCATTTACCAAACAGTAATAATGTGTAACAATACCATGATATTCATGAAATTTACCAAACTCTAACTCATTGTCTTCTGTAAGACCACAGAAACAACAAACTTTTAAATTATGGTTTTCTGCAGACATTATTTCTTCTGAAAAAATGGATTTTTATGTATAAATATTCGTCATGTATATATTAAATAGATTAAGGTAATATAGTTATACAAACAATAATTTACTTACAAAATTTTTCTAATTATACTCATATGTTACAGAAGCTATCTTCCAAAGTATATTTATATTCCATGTTTTTACAAAATCACAAATTTCATTTTCCTTTATATAAAATGAATCATCATATATTTTTGATTCTCTATTTCATAATTTCTTCAAATAGTAAATATTTAAGATAAATTAACTTCAAGAAAAAAAATTGTATTCTCGTATTGACAATATACCATAAAAAGGACCAGTACATTTCTTTTTCGTAAAAACAAAATACGTTCATGCCATTATATACCGATCTAACTTCAAATGCAAACAATAATACCACAGATTTATCATTTCTGTATTTTAATTCTTCGGTAAATTCAATTTTACTTTCAACAACCAACACAGTATTAAATACGCCAACATAAAAAATATGAACGATCAGTGTTTGACCGAAATAAGACAAGATATTTTTTATTCTTATTAATAAATTGTACTCAACTTGCCTAGAAGCAACATTTCAAACATGGCGGAAAGCGGTATTTTTAAATTTACTATAACATTAATAATTATTTGAATTTTTTTTCTTGATATTTTTGAAAATCGTTTAAGTGTAATCAGCTAGATATTTAAAAACCATTAATATATATTTTTAATTTTTTTCTTTAATTTTTCTTTCTTTTATAATTTTTACAAGTCATTACGCATTTTATTGGTAGATCGAATATTAAACCGCCAATTCGTATCACGTGATTTATCAATCTTGTATCTCAAACTATACGTAATTCAACTGAAATATTAGAACAATTTTATCAGATATCAGAGCAAATATCAGAACAATTTTGATCATATATCAAGTCATTAAAACTTATGATTACAAATAATTCAATCTGTGATCATAATTTTATATTTCCAATATTCCCATAATATAATACACCAATAGCAACTACAATTTTATGATTAATCCAGCAATATCATTATTTAATCATCGTTAAACGATTTCAATAGATAAAATTTTAAAATATTATAAATCAAAATATAATGCTCGTATCGAAATTGTAACATAAAATAACATGGTGAATACTCCTAGAATGCTTCACACTTTGATATTATATAGAATGCACATTGGTTTATTCTAGGGAGGTTGACTGAAAAGTTTGAACACCATTGGAAAAGTAAATTTATAAAATCAAATTATGAAGAAAGAAATATTTGTTCTTTCTCAAAAAGTATTGTTTTATACTATTAAAATATACGAACTCCGAGCGTTTTTACTTTATTTGTTATGTTAATACAGTAATGTATATTGCAATGAAAGTTTACAAATTTATATAAATGTATATAGTGATCCATGCTTACACATGCGAATGGAATCGTTTTAACTTATTAACAGCAGCGTTTCATTTTTAAGAACAGGTATGACTGATTTTAAATATATACGATACAATACAGGATCATACTAAATAAATTAAAATAAGAAAACAATAAAACGTATTCAAATAATATAAACTTGAATGGCAAATTATGTACCGCAAAGGACTTGGTGTATTTTATATATACATATATATATACATATATATATATATGTATATATATATATATAAAAATATATATGCATATATATTGCTTTTTTGTGTAGATTTTGTAATAGAAAATTAATCATGAACTTTTGTCAAATATTTTATCGTATAAACGTAAAAGCTTTCATCTTTTATTAAGGTTATGTTTACATCATATACTTTTATTATTGCTAAAGTAAACCAACTATAAAACAATCAGGATCAGTAATATCTTAATATTTAAAGATTTTATTCAGATTTAATTTTTTTTATTTCTAAATAAAATATATATCAAGTGATAAGTTCTTATATAGAAATTAAACCAGAAATTAAAATACAATGCCAATAGCGTAAGTTAAACCTATGTACATTCCTCAATAATAGACAAAGGAATTCTTATAAATATTTCAATTTTTCTTTTACATTAAAATTTATTCATGCGAAATTTAAATAAATTGCAAGTAAATAAATTGATTAACAAAGAAAACAATTTATCTCTCTAAACTTCAAAACGTATCTGCACAATTATATTTGCATATATCACTGAATATATTTTATGAATGGAATAGTTTAAACAAGCAATGAGTACACGTTTTCTAAATTAGTTTTAGATTTGATCGTAAAAATAGTGGTTTTTATAGATTATAAATATCATAAATATTATTATGAATAAATATCTAATTACTATATAGTCTTTAATAAAGTCTTTTTTGAAAATAATTCAATATAGATATGACATATGTTTTTGTTCTGCATAGTCTAAAATACAATACAGAATTTGTTCTTCACTATCCGTAAAATATTACTATTAATTATATGTTTATATATATTTACAAGTTAAAATATATTTATTGAATAGTAAACAAATTTTTGCCAATTAATTCTTGAATGAATTCCAATAAGAAATTTTAGATTATAACAAATACAAATAATATACAAGGATATAAAACAATAATTACAGCAGCAGTGTATAACATTAAAAATGAATGGGATTATTCCTGAAATGGAACAAATAATTAGTCAGCTTGAACGCGGGACTGTGGTAACAAAATTTTTCTCAAGGAAACGACCAGAAAAAAAAACCTTAATGATACGAAGGGAAACTAGACAAATTGTTTGGTCAAGGAGTTCTACCTTTAGACCTTTCGATGGTTCTGGTAAGAAGTTTTGAGTTTTTAGTTAACGTTTAAAATTAATATGACATGTTTATATCTGATCATAGAAAAGATAATATATTTTTTCTATAAAGGGTTGTTTTACATTAAACTGTTCTTTATAGATTCACATTCACAAGCACACAAAAAATAAATTTTCCACCTAATATTTTAGGCACACTTTATACATGGTTATGCAGTTATATATCTACAGCAAAAATGGGCAGAATATTATCTGAAGATACTAGTTATAGGCCAAAAACCAGAAGGAAAAATCAGTGTCCATTTTGTATATGGGTGAGTTTATGATAAAGATAAAATCCATATCAGTTGTTGGATCTCATCCAGAAAGATACAATGAACTTTGTAGATGTGTGTACATATTTACATTTGTCATTTATGTTAATGTTTATTCTATTTGAAATTATTTCAAATTTTTATTGATGTATAATTAATTATACAAAAATAGAGTTTTTATTCCATTCGTGTAGGTGGTAGGTATAAAATATTTAAATGTTCACAATGTTCTGATCTTAGATGATTTAAAAATAAATAGTTATGTTCGCATTCTTATTTTATCTTGCCATTATTGCAACTTCTCCTTCAGTTTTGGTCTATCAACAATTGTGCCCATTACTACTGTTGATATATAGGATAGAATATTGATTACTAAAGGTATTATAGCATAATAAAAATCACAATATTATATGTCATGATACTGCATAAATATTTAAATAGTATATTCAAACAATATATTGAAGTTGTAATATGTAAATAAAAAATATACAAATATATGTATATCAACTTTTTTCAGTTGAAATAAGGGAAGTCAAAGAAGTTAGGGTAGGGAAGCATTCCAAAGATTTTGAAAAATGGCCAGAAGATGCAAAGAGGATAGAAAGCTTAAGATGTTTTGTTGTATTCTATGGTTCTGAATTCAGGTTAAAAACTCTTTCAATATCAGGTGAATATAAAATAGTTCTAATTATTAGTTATTAGAATTTTGTTGATTTTTCTGTAATTTATTCATTCTTGATTAATACGTATTTTAGCTCTAAGTGAAAAAGAATGTGAGTTATGGGTTAAAGGTTTACGTCATTTAGTTCAAGATACTATTAATGCTCCATATCCTTTACAAGTTGAAAGATGGCTTAGGAAAGAATTTTATGCAATGGAGAATTCAAGAGAAACGTAAGGAAATTGATATCTATGTTGTCATTCTTTTCTATAAGTTAAACTAATGTTTAACTTTGACTATAAAAACTAATGGTAAAACTGATTTAACAGAGTTACGTTAAAAGATGTTAAAGCATTTTTACCTAGAGTTAATTGCAAAATTGCAACTAACCGTTTAAGAGAATTATTCCAAGAAGTAGATACAAGAAGCAGAAATGAACTTGGGTTTGATGATTTCGTTATTTTATATCATAAACTCATGTTTGATCAGAATGTAAGTTATTTAAATTTCAATATTTATTTTGTAAATATTATATTTAACTTCATAATATAGATTAATATGTAATTATATCTTTTTATAGAATCTTACAGATTGGAATAAGCTATTGAATTATTCTAAGTCAGGACAAACTGTTACTCTTCAGGAATTTCAAAACTTCTTAATCACTGAGCAACAAGATGTTTTAGGAAATAATGATATAGAAGCTTCACGTTTTATTAGAGACTACCTTCAAGATCCACAAAGAGATATACAAGAACCATATTTCACATTTTCTGAATTTATAGATTTCCTTTTTTCCAAACAAAATGATATTTCGGATCAACGATATAATCAAGTGACTCAAGATATGACTAAGCCTTTAGCTCATTATTGGATTGCATCATCACATAACACGTAAGAAGTTATAAATGATGGAAATAATACATGCTTTGTCAAATATTATATTTAATAATTTTCTTATTAAATATTGTAATATATAAAATAAATACTTTCAGATATTTGATGGGTGATCAAATAAGCAGTGAAAGTAGTTGCCAAGCTTATGTACGCGCATTAAGATCTGGTTGCAGATGTATAGAACTTGATTGTTGGGATGGTCCTGATGGAATGCCTTTTATATTCCATGGACATACATTAACAACAAAAATAAAATTTCTAGATGTTATTAAAACTATCAAAGAACATGCTTTTGCTACATCTGAGTATGTATTATTTAAAAAAAATTATATAACTATGATATACATAGACCGTTTGCATGTTCACATTCGTGTATAAATTGATCTACTTATTTATTTATTTATCATATATATATATATAAATCTTTTTGTAGATATCCTGTTATTTTATCCATAGAAGATAATTGCACATTGCCACAACAAAGAAAAATGGCTATTACAATGCAAGAATTGTTTGGAAATATGCTATTAGTTCAATCAGTAGATAAAAATGAAACTTGTTTGCCATCTCCATATGCATTAAGAAAGAAAATATTATTAAAACATAAAAAACTTCCTGATGGAGCTGATGAGACATCATTTCTTATTCGTAGTGATGAAAGTAGACAAGAAATGGATCTTAGAAATACTGTAAAAAATGGGATATTATACTTAGAGGATCCTGTTGATAGAGAATGGAATCCACATTTTTTCGTATTAACACAGCAAAAGCTATTTTATACAGATACATTCTCACGAGCTCAAGAGACAGAGCATGATGATGATGATGAAGGATGTATCCGAAGACCAACAGATGTACGTATATTTTTAATAGTAATACATTTATAAATGCGTTATTTACAATATCTATTACATATATCAAATATGAAATGTATGATATATTTGTTTTAAAGGGAGTACCAAATGATGAACTACATTTTGGTGAGAAGTGGTTTCATGGAAAGTTAGCAAAAGGCAGGGAAGAAGCTGAAGAATTATTACAACGATACTCTCATCTTGGCGATGGTACCTTTCTAGTTCGACAATGCGTTACGTTCGTTGGTGACTATAGTCTTTCCTTTTGGCGTAAGGGCAAAGTAAACCATTGTCGTATAAAATTAAAACAAGAAATGGGTCAAACACAATATTATCTAATTGATACAAATTGCTTTGATAGTTTATATAGTCTAATAACACATTATCGCAATAACCCCCTTAGAAGTCAGGTAATTGCACTAAAAATGAAGTATCGCACATTATTTATATTTTCTTTAAGAAATAAGAAATAATATATATTTATTTAATATATAGGAGTTCTTAATTACACTCCAAGAACCCGTACCTCAACCAAATAAGCATGAGGAAAAAGAATGGTGGCATGCAGAATGTACTCGTACTTTAGCAGAAGAAATGTTAAAATGCATTCCCACTGATGGTGCCTTTTTAGTGAGACCTAGTGAAAAAGAAAGTAATTCTTATGCTATATCCTTTAGGTATGTAAATACAATAATTTAATTATATATATATATAAAATATAATATATAAAAAGAAAGATAATTAAAAATTTGTTATATTTTATTTAATAGGGCTGAAAAGAAAATTAAACATTGTAGAATAAAATTTGAAGGACGTTTGTATACAATAGGAACAGTGCAATTTGAAAGTTTAGTTGAATTAGTAAATTACTATGAAAGGAATCCACTCTATAAGAGAATAAAGCTAAGTCATCCTGTCAATCAAGATATCATCAGAAGAGTGGGTTTGGTATGTGACAGACTAAAAGCTTTTGCTAGTATGTATAATTACAAAAAATTAAAAGTTTATGTATAAACAAAAATGTGGAAGAGGTCATTTTTTTATTAAACATGATATTTAAAAAAATAAAATTTATATTAATGTTATTTAAAATTACAATTACAATCTTTTTAAAGGATGCAGATGACGGATCTGTTTATGGTATACCTGGATACATGGACCCAACAAGTTTTGGATCTAAAGTAAGTTATATTTTACAATAAAGTCAATTATTACTAAATGTTATACATATTTCTATAATAATCAGTGCTACAAATGATATATGTCATAAATAGGTAACGGTAAAAGCTCTTTATGATTACAAAGCAAGAAGAGAAGATGAATTGACATTGGTAAAACATGCTATAATTACTAACGTAACGCGTCAAAGTGGCGGTTGGTGGAGAGGCGATTACGGTGGTAAAAAGCAACATTGGTTTCCAGCAAATTATGTTGAAGAAATAGATTATCAAGATAGTCCAGGAGATGTAAGTAATATAATTATTTAATGTACAATACAATTTTATCATATCAATTTTAGTCTACAGATTCTATGATGCTTGGTAGTCTTCAAAAGGGTTCATTAGACATTATGGGTGCAGTTGTCGAATTAACATTAGGTGAAAGGCCTGGATTAGAATGGATTTTACGAATACAAAATCCTAGTATGTGTTCCGTATTTGAAGTGGCAACACCATCAAAAGATAGTGCATTAGAATGGATGTCAAGTATCAAAGAAACAGCACAGAATGCCAGTGTTAGAGTAATAAAACCATTTATATTTATTCAAATTTAATTATGATTAATCTCTCCAAGTTTTTAAACTTTTTCTATACTGTTTTCCATTTATAGGAAAATCAACATAAAGAGATGGAGCGAGCATGGAGGATAGCAAAAGAAATGTCTAATCTTATAGTATATTGTAGATCAGTTGCTTTTAATGTTGAACGAATTAGAGCAAAGGGATTTATATTTCATGAAATGAGTAGTTTCCCTGAAACTAAAGCAGAAAAACTCATGTGCCAGCAAGAAAACAAGTTTTTCTTAAAATATCATCAGGTAATAACTATTTAACAAAGTATAAACTTTTTCTAATTACAAAATGAATCCTGTGTTCTCAAATATTATCGATTTAAATTATAGATGCAATTCAGTAGAGTATATCCTAAAGGACAACGTATTGATTCATCTAATTATAATCCTGTGCCAATGTGGAATTCTGGTTGTCAAATGGTAGCTTTAAATTATCAAACTGGAGATAAATCTATGCAATTAAATCAAGCTAAATTTAAAGAGAATGGTAGCTGTGGTTATGTACTGAAACCAGATTTTATGTTCAGAGATGATTTTAATCCTTATGACAAAAATTGCTTGTACGGAATAGATGCACTTAAAATTAGCTTAAAAATTATAGGTGCAAGACATTTGATTAGGTCTGGAAGAGGAACAGCTAGTCCATTTGTTGAAGTAGAAGTAATTGGTGCAGATTTTGATAATGGGACAAAAATAACAACAAAAACGATACGTACGTATTTTTGTAAAAAAAAAAAAAAAAAAAAAAAAAAAATACATTATATTCTAATTATATTCATATATTCTTTTTTTATATTTGAGTATTTAATTTGTTCAGATGACAATGGTTTTAATCCTATGTGGAATGAATCTTGTGAATTCGAAATATTCAATCCGTACTTTGCTCACATAAGATTTGTAGTACAAGATGAAGATATGTTTGGTGATAGTAATTTTATAGGGCAAGCTACTTATCCTGTATGTATTTATGATATTCGTTATTATACATACTTATTTTTTTATATTAACATTTATCCTTATTCTTTTTAAAATTCATTTATTTTATTAATTATTTTTAGGTTCGTTGTTTAAGAACAGGATATAGAAGTGTTACTTTAAAAAACAATTATAGCGAAGATCTAGAACTGGCTGCACTTTTAGTACACATTCGAATTATAAATTTTTCTGTAAATGTAAATAGTGATCTTTCTCTATATTTCTTTTTTAGGTAATTTTACAAATATTTAATTTAATTGTATTATTTATTTTTTAGGCAACATCGTGAACTAACGGAAAAAATTATTAAATGAGTAGATCTGATATACTGTCTACAATGTTTGGTATAGTGCTTCACATGTACATATATTTGATGAGTGTTTCTGTGTGTACATTGTGGTGAAATAGAACCACGAATAATATCTTTTAAAAAAATGAAAATGATAAAAATAAATATTATTTTTTACTGATTTAATTTGAATGAAATTCAAGTAAAATCTATTTTTTAATAACTATAAAATATCATTGTGAACTTGATTTTCTATTGATTAATCAAAAATAATATTTTATGTTATTGATTACTTAATTTTATAATCAGTGGACAAATATAATTCTTTGAAGTAGCATTTACTAGTTATAAAGTTAACTTCAATGAAAGAAATGATACATATCTTTACACAATCTAATAATCTTTAGTATCTTGTTACTATCATAAATTTTATTAATTTTTCTCTTATTGCATATATCATTGCATTTATTTTGGTTATATGTTCCCATATGTATAGATTTATAAAAAAGTGTACTCTTAAATAGTATTTCTGTAATACTTCCAATGTGCATAATTTGTAACTAATAATCTACATTACATGGCCTTACATTCATGTATCAAAACTATTATATTATATAAAGAAAAATGTTTGTTTAAGTATGGTCAGAAAGAAACAACTACATGAGTTTTGAACATATCAAACAAAGAAATATAAAAAAGATGGATGGTAACAAGTATTTTTGTGTAGTACATATGTTGAATTGTGAAATAAAAAGAATTTCCAGTAAATATAGAATGTTCATTTTTCATAAGGAAACAATTTCTGTTAAATATGTTAAAAGTAAAGTTATATTTACATAAATAAGATAGACAAAGCTTAAGATATATTTGTGTGTATATGTATGTGTTATTCTACAAAAGAAAAAGGCATTTTTGGATATTTATTATTCATAATTTTATATATTACAAACGTTAAAAGAAATCAAAATTGAATAGGAGAGGTACAAGTATTGATAAGTGCATTATTTATAATGATTTATAGAATTTGTTAATTTATGAAGATTTACACAGTTTTCTTAAGATATTCATCAAATATAAATAAAGCAACAGAAGGGTCATTTAACAATAACAGTTTCTGCAAATCATTTATATGTCCAGCTAATAGACGCATATAATCAGCCTGTTGTTCCATAAATTTTTCTTCTATAAAATGAGATACAGATGGATCATGAAATTTTTGACGGGCGTCTGAATGAATTTTTATAGCTTCTTTTGTAAGGTTTTCCTCAATTTGAAGTGCTTTAGCCAAACTTTGAATTTCATTAAACTGTATTTCTCTAGTTTCGCTCTCCGACACAATTTTATTGTGCTGCAAAAAAAATAATCATGTACTTATCCAAAATTATATAGTAAAATAAATACGAAAAATATATTTATATATAAAGTAAATATATATGATATCGATACTTGTGTACTTACACTGTTAGTTTGTTCTTCACGAACAAAATTCAATGTACTACCTCTTTTGGTAAGGAATTTTACTATATTAATAGCATTTTCCCATGCTTTGTCTGACAGTTTACGATATAATGCCTTAAAGCCTTCTCGATTTGATTCATAATTTCCAAAATGAGTTGACATTAATAAAAATTCATAGCTATATTCAATATGAGCATTTGCATATCCTTGAAGTTCACTCTTTAACTTCTCGATATTCCCAAATGTGGCAGTACAGTTAAATGAAGTACCTAGAACTACGATAATCAATAATATTAACAATTAAAGACACTATATGATAATGCAATATTTTATTAAAATATTTCAGTTTTGTTTTTATCTTAACAGAATATAACTTACGAGAATTAGAAATTTTAAGATCACAAGCTTCTTCAACATGCCTATAACAAGAATCTGTTGAAGCAGAGATCGTGACAAAAAGAGCACACAATACTCCTAGTAGAAACATGTTTACTAAAAAAAAAAAGTATAAAAGTTCATAATTAATATTATATATAACTACATCACTGAATACACAATTTTAATATCATACTATTTATAACTTAACATAATAAAAACTATTTTTAAAATAAATACGAAAGATTAGTTAAATTATAGATTTTATATATACATATATATATGTTTTATATATACATATATATATATATATATATATATATATATATATATATATAAATTGAGATTAAACTAACAAGCGTAAACAAGAATATATATTATAATTAATTAAATTTTTATCAAAGTATTAACATTTTAAAAACCACAAAGATCATCGACAATGAACTTACTCCCACAAATAAAAGAAAATTATTATGTTGATTGGAATGTATGGTAGAATTCTCACAAAAGTAAACTGAATGAAAACAAACTAATAAATCGGAATAATATAGGCTATAAATTTGTTTTTGTTATTTTTATCAATCGATCATATATTTAGTTATTGCGTTATCACATACAAATTGCGCAGTAGAAGAAACGTTATTTATACAGTAACTTGGATCAGTGACGAATTAGTTTTACCCGCCATTATTATAAAAGTCAGATTAGACAAAAACGAAACATCGAGAAAATGCTTAGCTTTCTATACTGTATTGCAGAAAATCTATGGTACCTCATCACGTACCTCTTTAAATGATGCTCTTGCACTGTTGGATAGAACGTGAATACTCTCGCTTCGATGTTCTCTCAACAATGAATTACTAATTAACTGATGCGAACATTGGACTCTTTGAGTAGTAGGATTTTGATATATAACGAGGTGAGGGGAATTTATCTACCAGTCATAGTCACCTGATACGCATTCGCGCATGCGCAGTAGCTCAACGATTGAGGGAAAAGTGAAAATTCCAATAATTCTGGTATGCTTTGTATTAATTGAGAGCTGTGAATGTTACGCATTTACGTGTAGATTATTAGATGATCGATGGTTGCTCGTCGAGTTTAGTTCGTGAACTTTTATCTTAAATTGGTTGAATACAGCCTTCTATACTAGTACGTATAAAGGTTGTATTCGAAAGAGATCGTCAACAGTTTTCCTTTCAATTTACGCATTATAACCTTACAATAAGAAGTAATCGATGATGAAGCTCCTTTGTGTTCTTCTTTTCGCGTCAACCTGCCTTGGTGTAGAAAAGTCTAGTAAATATCAATGTAAGTTAATTTTTTATTTACAAAATTTACCGATTCTCTTTTTCTCTTTTCCTTTTTTACTCTCTCTCTTTTTTCTTTCTATCTTTCTCTTTCTCTCTCTCTCTCTCTCTTTCTTTTTTTCTTTCTCTCTCTCTCTCTCTCTTTCTTTTTCTTTCTTTCTCTTTCTCTATCTCTTTATTTCTCTTTCTCTATCTCTTTATTTCTCTTAATTTCTCTTATCGACTTATCTATTTCAAGTTACCTTTTTATCAATATATTGCTTTTTTTGCATTATCTTTAATGTAAATATTTTTAACATCAATATTTTTCCTTTTAATTGATACATTGTACGTTTGGAAAATATCCTTTATTTTGATGACTGATGATGCTTACAATAATGTTTGATAATAAATCATATGAACCTAAATTAAGAAAAGAATGATATTATTTACTTCCTAATAAACAAGAGAAAATAAATTGTTTGACGTAGTTTACTTAACGCGGACAGTTATTGTATTGGTTGGTTATTTTTAGGTTATACGCATTAATTTAACACTGCTTTACATTCTATTTTTCAATTTACACATTGCATATGAACAAATATAATTATAATGTGTTTTATATTCAAGAAAATAAAATGTAATGATAATATAATAATAACATAATTTTTAATATATACTTATTAAGAAAATAGATTTCAACATCAATTTCTAACAAGATTGTTATGAAATAACCTAATGCTAAGATCTAATGAACTATTTTCCTTGAAAGACAATTTAAAAAATACAATCATGATAATCTGGACCTCAAGATGTTCTTTGAACTATCATTTTTATATTAAGTAAAATTGTTATCAGAAATATTTTTATCCAATTGAACGTGACTTTAATGAGATTTAGTTAAAACATATTTATACATTATGACTTAGTGTGAAGAATATTAGTCATATTTGTATACTATATTCAATGCTACTCTTATGAAAATCATAATAATATTTTCATATTCATAATTTAGAAAATTGTATCAAGTTTTATTATTTGTATTATTTTTATCTCATAATCTTTCTTTAAGAGATAAAAGAAACACTCAATTTTATCATTTATCTATAAAACGTGACTTTGAGTTATTGTAACACAATATAGAAATAATATTATATAGAATATGCACACATGAATAATAATAAATTTAAATATAATTTCATCTATTCAATTAATATTGTCAGTTTATTGAATTTTCATTTTACTTTTAATTCTATGTATTTTATGTATATTTTTTAATTTTTTGTTATTAATTTCTTTTTCTTCTAATTATTTGTTAATAAATGTAATAACATTTACAATATAATAAAATACTATAAATACATATTTTTTAAATTATATGATTAAATTAAATAATTATATATATGTAAGCAATTATTTATGATCAATTAATGATTAATTAATAATGACAATATCTATACTCGTAATATTTTTAGGCTACCAATATGATAGATCATCTTGTTTGCACAATGCCAGCACTCCAATATGATAAGAAGTGCGTGATGATGAACATGCGTTGATTAATCTATGTTCCAAAGTTCATTTCTGTTTGTAATTATCTTCATTGTCCTCTAGTGCAACTTTATACATTTGGAAATATAAAACTATTGCATAATTACTAATATGCACATACTATTTAAATTCTTATTATTAGGCTTTTGATTTATTCTCAATTTTGTACAGTATTATGACAATATAAAATTTAATTTGCATAAATTAAAACAAGTGATACCATAAGATGATAACTACTAACTTATAAAAACTAATAAAATATTATTAATATTGCTGAATTTACTTTACATTGTTTTCATATTATGATTGTATTATTAAATATATGTACTATTATCATTTTTTTTTGTTTTATAACTTTTCTCCATTTATGCAACTTTAAAAATAATAAATACAATAAAAATAAAAATAAACTTGCTTTAATAAATTTTATTTATTTTATTAATTATTTATTATAATATTATTATTTTGTATACTTATTATAATATATTATTATAATATATTTCATATTATATTTGAAAGATAAAAGAAATAGAACATGTCATTTAAACTGTGCAATAGAAAGCTGATTTTGTCAGAGTTGGAGACTGGTTATCATGAATATAGGTTTTCTTTTTACTGACATGAGATATGCACATATATAATCTTATCTGCAGGAAATTATCTTTAATATATTTTTAATTTTTTTATATTTTCAAAATTTATTTGTTAAATTTTTGAATTTTTTGAAACATTCAAAGCAATATAAATTTTTATAAATATTTCATTTCAGGTACAATAGAACCTGAAAATAAATTATCATTCAAAAATATGGAGGATTCATGCAAAGAAAAATTGGCATCCCAAATCAAAGTAGAGGTTCAAGCTTCTTTAATGTATCTTGGAATGGTATCTGATTTTTTCTAAATGGAGATCATAAAATATATTTTTTTATTACTGTTAAGCTAATAGATATAACAAAATTGTGAATAATTTTCTAGGGTGCACATTTTGCACGTGATATTATAAATCGTCCTGGATTTAGTAAATTTTTCTTTGAAAGTGCAAATGAAGAAAGAGAACATGCAATAAAACTTATAGAATATTTGTTGATGCGTGGTCAACTTGTAACTAATATTAATAAAATTTTACAATTCCCATTGCTAACAAAAGTATGTTATATAAATTTATTAAAATAGTTAAATTGAATAGTTTGTAATTTCATAACTTGTATAGTAATGAATATTTATTTTTAGAATCAAACACGACAAGAATGGAATACTGGAATTAATTCACTTAAATATGCTCTTAAATTAGAATCTAGTGTTACTGAAAAGATTAAAGCGATCATTAAAAGTTGTGAGACTAATAGTCAGGATTATCATGTAAGTATAATTTCTAATAAGTATTTGAATATATAAAAAAGTCATATACATAAGTAGAATCACTGTCAATTATATTGATTATACTACTTAATTATTGTATTATTATAGTTGGTTGACTATCTCTCTGGAGAATTCTTGGAAGAACAATACAAAGGAGAACGTGATCTTGCTGGAAAAATCTCCACATTAGGTAAAATGATTAAAGAAGAGAATTATTTGGGAGAGTTCTTATTTGATAAAAAACTCTTGAATGGTGAAGTTTAATTTTCATTCTATATATGATATAATTTTAATGTAATGCACATATACAATAAATATAATAAATGTGGCCATATTTAGAATAATATGATGTCATTCAACATGTTTATACTAGATTTATAATTTTGTTACCATCATTATATCTCAGTAAGCTTTTTCATATAAAATATATTTCTAAATATGGCCTTCAATACTTAGAAATTCTTAATATAACGTTTACAGTGTTTGTTATTCTATGATAAATATATTATTCCTAATGATCAAATAAATATTATTTTGAGATTGATATTAATGTCTCTTTGCGATTCCTTCCAATATAATAAATTTAATATAAGTTACATAAGAAATAGTATATTAATCTATTACAATAAAAAGTGTTCTTAATGATATTAGTTATTTTTCAGTTATTTTTTGTTGACACAATAACACAATATATATGACCTTATAGTCGTAAATACACGATAAGAAACTCTCTTTGTTAAACAACTTGATTCAATTTAAATACAAGACTGTTACTCATAATTAGATCATGATATTAAATTATCATTGATATACGATCAAAAAAGACTAATGCTAATAGTTACATCAAAACTATTATGATTCATCGTTATAAATCCCTAAGTTAAACGACTTTCTATATCATTCGGTTACAAAAATAAATACATTTGTATAGAACATACATACGCAACAACACTAACGTTTATTGAAAAATCTTCAAATCGCAATACAATTATGAGTTTTACGATATAATAACGACTATGGATTATTAAATAAATAAACTCGTTCTAGGACTGAATAGAAATTCAAGTGTTATTCAATATCAAAAAGTATTCAAATTTTTTTACGTCTGATTGTATATAAAATGATTTTTTTATTAATAACCATAATGTTACTTAAAAACTATCATGATGTACATATACAAATATATACATCTTATATATACACACATTAATATTTCTTAATTAAAAGTTTTTGGCTGGAGTCAATTCGAAAAATCCCGCTTTCAGAGAAAATGACCAGCCATTGGCAATATTGGTTATATTTAATATAGAAGGCGGGAAATTTTGAATATATAGAATAGTAACATACATCAACTAATTGATGTAACTTGAGTTAAGTAAAAAGACTTCTGTGATCATTATAAATTGTTTGGAACTGAATTGTTTTGTTCTTTGATATTTTAGCAAATTCATTTATGTTCTTTTAATTTATTTTATAATATTTAACCAATGAAATTTGTTATTTAATTATTATAACGAATACGATAGAAATTCTGTGCATGTAAAATGAAACTATAATAAATTATAAACATCCATTTTCAAAAAGCTTGGATAAATTGAAACAATTTAAATTATATTGAAAAATTCCAGATATGCATTGATACAATTAAAATATTAGAATCGCAAAGTTCCATTGTAACGTTAAACATCACATTAAACTAAAAGACGCTAGTTCTAATGTGCGCCGCAGAGTG